GATTATATAATCAGCTGAAATCTTTTAAAAGATCTTAGACCCCAGAAGGTTGTCGTATTTTAGTAATATGTGTTTCTAGGAAATTTCATTTAATACTTTCTTTTTAAATGAATGGATGAATTCCTCCTCCCCCTCTTTCTCCTCCTTTTTCCTCCTCCTTCCTCCTCCTTTCTCTCCTCCTTCCTCCTCCTCCTTTCTCTTCCTTCTTCTTCCTGCTCCTTTCTCCTCCTTCTTCATCCTCCTTTCTCCCCCTCTTCCTACTCCTTTCTCCTCCTTCCTCCTCTTCCTTTCTCCTCCTTCTTTCTCCTCCTCCTTTCTCCTCCTTTCTTCTCTTTTCTCCTCCTCCTTTCTCCTCCTTCTCCTCTTCCTCCTCCTTTTGTACTTCCACTTCATATCAAGTTACCTTTTGCTCCCCTTTACCTGGATATGCCGCCTTATCAGAAATTAATTTCGGCAAATGAAACACAGGACCAGAAAGTATTATTTATTCGTCGAAAATCACAGCAAAAATAGCACACTTTGGGTTTGTCTAAATCATCCAGACGGACCACACTACATAAAGCCAGCGATTACTGAGTGCACGGTAAGTCCCCAAGTCGTATCACATATTAGTACCTAACCCTACGATTGCACTCTCTAGTCCAGATCCCGACCTCCGGCTACTCCTCGTCGTCAGCGTCGTCAGCATCGCCGGTATCCTGAACCGCGACGACAGGAGAGCCAAAAGCCACGGGGAGGTTGCTATAGACCAGGGGGGAACCGGGACTCACGTGCAGTGTGCTGCCCGCGGCGGTTGTACCGGCAGTGTATGGAAGGGTGCTATAGACGAGGGGTGTCCCTGGGCTGAGGTGCGGGTGCCTTCCGACCACGGGGGTGCCGGGGCCCACGGGGAGGTTTGTGCCGGCCACGCGGAAGCCGTTCGAGTCGGCCACATAGTGTTGGGTCTGAACCTGGCCATTTGGGTCCACGTAGCTGAAGGCGCCTCGCACGGTCCCGGCCGCGTCACGGGTCTCGGCGCGAGAGGACTGGCTGTTGTAATAGCCGAAGGAGTACTGACCGAGCTCGTCTTGGGCGTGGTACTGGGACTGCACTCCAGGGACTGCGACTGCAGGCGCTGCATTCAGGGTGACAGGTGCAGCGGCTGCTACAGGGAGAGGAGCTGGCTCTGCAGCTGCAATCCTAACATGGGCTGGTGCAGCAGCTGCATAAGTGACTTGGGCAGGGGCAGCAGCTGCTACAGTAATAGGAGCAAGGTGCAGCAGCCGCATAAGTGACTTGGGCAGGGGCAGCAGCTGCTACAGTAATAGGAGCAGGTGCAGCAGCTGCATAAGTGACTTGGGCAGGGGCAGCAGCTGCTACAGTAAGAGGAGCAGGTGCAGCAGCTGCATAAGTGACTTGAGCAGGCGCAGCAGCTGCTACAGTGAGAGGGGCATGAACCGAAGGTAACGGCTTGAACAACAGGGGCAGGGACGGCACCCTCGATATTGACAGGTGTGGGCGCTGCTACACTGTAAGTGACGGGCGCTGGAGCCACAGCCTGGAAAGTTGCAGGAACGGAAGTCCTGAAGCTGACAGTTTGTGTATCTTCGTCCTTATCTTCATCAGGTGTTTCTGCCTTGTAAATGACAGGTGCGATAGGTGCAATACTGACAGGTGTAGGGGCCAGGTTTTGGACAACCTTGGGATCTCCGACCTTGAGACTGTCAGACGTAGCTTTGAGCACGATGGGTCCGAAGCCCGCAGCGCCGGCAGACGTGGGAACAGCCACCTTCAGCGTAACGGGTGTTTGGGCTGGTGACTGAAGCAAGACTTGGTTGTTTGCCAGCGAGTTGAAGTATACAGGTAAGGACGACACATGCTTGAGTGTGACCTGAGTCGGCACATGGCTTTGCAGAGTGACGGGCGTAGCGACGGCGCCATGGTGGGCGACAGTCCCTTGCGGCGCAGACTGTATGAACGTCTGCCAGATGCCCGGTGAGGAGCGCGCGTGCCGTACCGAAGGAGGCTCGGGTGTTTGGTGAACAGGCCGTGGTAGAGACCGGGGAAGGCGCCGAAGATGCCGGGCAAGGTAGGCACCTGGCCGGAGCAGCTGGCCGCGACGGCCGCAAGGCAGAGCACCGTCTGAAGTGCAAACAGTAGACGATCAAAGAACAAAAGAAATAACACCCAGAATAAAGGAAAAAAAGAAACGTTATTTTTCACCAAATGAATGACAGTAGAAGGTTTCGAAGATCATCGCGAAACAGAAGCAAACCTCTCCGAAAAAAATGAAACGAATCCAGGCTTACCAGAAAATTCATGCCGACTGCATCGAGGAAGCAATCTGTGCTTGCAGGCTGAGGATGTCCTTTATATACCCGAGGTCAAGCAAGCAGGGGCGGGGTTTATATTGCATCTCTTAGGCTGGACGTCCTTGCTGAACTGCTCTTGTATTACTCAACTTGGATCTTGTTTGGGAGGGAACTTCTTCAGGATGACTTACGTTTGTCGCTAACACCAT